CCCTGCCCCCTTCATCCACCTGCAGCCGGAGCCCAGCTGGTCAAGTCAGGGGCCCCGAAGTCCCAGGGCCGTGGGGGGCCGTGCTCCCGGGGGGGTTGGGGCCGGGAGCCGAGGGCAGCCCCTCTTGGCCCCTTGGGACACCCGGCTCCACAGGACACGCCAGCCTCACGTAGCTTCTTGCTTTACGTCCGAGGGACCCAGAGACCTTGGGGCCTCTCCTCCTCTGCGGCCGGGCAGCCGGGCAGGAAAGGCTGCGGCCCTCATGGCACCCGGGCCCCCCACAGGGGCTGTCCATCAGGCCCCTCTCCTTCATGGGGGGCACTGCATCCGGGCACAGCCCCTGGTCCAGGAGGCGCACATGACTCAAGAAGACCCATCGGCCCTGGCTGGTCTGGCTCAGTGGATAGAGCGTCAGCCTGCGGACTGAAGGGGCCTGGGTTCGATTCCAGTCCAGGGCATGTGCCCGGGTTGCAGGCTTGATCTCCAGTAGGGGGCGTGCAGGAGGCAGCCGATCCACGATTCTCTCTCATCATTGATGTTTCTTTTCTTTTTTAAAAATATTTTTATTGATTTCAGAGAGGAAGGGAGAGGGAGAGAGAGATGGAAACATCCTACTGGGGTTCAAGCCGTATCCCTGGCACATGCCCTTGGCCGGATCGAACTCAGGACTCCTCAGTCTGCGGGCCGACGACGCTCTATCCACTGAACCAGACCAGCCAGGGCATCATTGATGTTTCTGTCTCTCTCTCCCTCTCCCTTTGTCTTTGAAATCAATAAAAAATTATTAAAAAAAACAAAAACAAAAAAGACCAAGCGGAGCTCATGGCCTCGCTGGCCTGGAGGCGCCCTCTCCTGGGACTGGGACCCTGAGGGTGGCGGCTCAGGCCACCGTCTTGTCCTGGGAGGCGAGAACCTGCCTGCACAGGGGTCAGGAGCAGGCAGAGCTGAGAGGGGAGGGGGGCGATCTGGAGAGGGGATCTGGGCTGCTGGATCCAGCCAAGCCTGAAGTCCGTAAGCCCTCGGGCTGAGTCTGTGTTCTGGCGAATGCCCCCCTCTTCGGGTTCCCCCCCCAGGGCTGGGTGTCCCAGCACTAGGAGGCCTCGGGGACCTGGGCTGTGGGCCGTTGGCTTCCGGGCACAGGCGGGACCCTCACTCACCGGATCATGGCGTAGGTCACCTCCAGCTTCTTCGTTTTGTTTTGCTCGAACGTCGCGGTGAAAGGGCTCAGCAGGGCCCTGTCCGCCCGGCTGTGGGTGCTGCCCGCCAGGCCCAGCACGAACCACTCCCCCTGAAACTACAGGCAGCGGGGCTGGCAGAGCCCGAGG